AAACGGCCCAGTCAACTGGGCCAGACCGGCCCAGTTGACCCAGTTGACTGGGGGGGACGCCCAGACGGCCCAGATAACTGGGCCGTCTGGGCGTCGGGGGCGGCTGGGCGGGCCCAGACGGCGCCCAGTCGCCGTTTCCGGCATTTGTGTTGAGGAGATCGCTGGAAAACTCCATTTTCGGCGATCTCCACTCCTTCCCAAGTAATATGTTGCCAAAATTCCACATTTACACATGAATTTCTCAAGAAATATGTAGAAAATCATACTTTTTTTCAAAAATAAAAATATAAACATGGTTTTTTTTGGTATAAATTTCTTACCTTCTTCAGAGGGATTTTGGCCAAGTGGGTATCCTGTTTTTCCTTATTTGTCGATGTCTGGGTCGACTGTGCTACAGTATTTTCCCGTCTCCTTCGGCTTTACTTCGTTTTCAAGTGAGGGTAAAATTGAGAATCTCTTCTTTTTTTTTTTGTTTTCACTATTTTTTATAATTTTGCCTTTTTTTTTCACTGGTCAAAGGCCAGTTTGAAAAATTGACCTGGTCCTGCCAACAGCCACTAATTCCTCACTAAATACCCCCCCTCTTCGCTGAGATTTGGAACAATTAAAATGGAGAAAACAAGGAGTAAGACTAATGAAAAGAAGTTAGGGTTTTGGAAATGGGCAATTGCATCCGTAATTTTCAGATTAATTCTGATTTACTTCCCCCAAAATCTCAATCTCTCCTCTCGCCCGGAAGTCTCCACTCCGGTCACCAGCCTCCGCCGCCGTAATTATTCTCTCTCTCTATAAATACATACATACGTAAGTATGTATTTGCATTTTTGTTTGCGCAGTTTATAAATTATATTTGTTTTTGTTTATTTGCTTGTAGTGGCGGAGGGATACTGGTTAAAGCAGTTATCGATGTCGCCTTATGCTGGTTCGTATAGTTTGCATTTTTAGTGCTTTATTTTGATCACGTCTGGCCTTGCTTACAAGTTTTATCTTTTGGACTTAGCGTCTTTTGGCCTTGCAAAAGTGCAGGTTCAATGTACCATGGATCACCTCTATTGCTATCAGTTCTTGGTCCTCTTACTGCAATAAAGTAAGAATTTGAGCTTCAATTAGCATCCTTTTATTTTTGAATTTATGTTATCAGTAGCAATGGTTTGAGTACGAGGTTATCTGAGTATTGATGAATAATAAAATGTGATAATGCAGGATAGAAGGACAGCCTAATCATCTTTTATGCAGGTACAGCGGCATTTTATCAAGATTTTTAATGTCATAATGCTTTCCCTATGTTTTTGCTCAGATTACCATTGGGAAAGAAACTAAATAACTATTTTGTTGGAAATCCAATACAAGTATCATGAGATGCTTATATTTAAATTTGGTCTATTACTACATTCTTTGGAGAATCATTTAGACAAAGTATCAACACATGTTTGGAAATAGTTTGGTTTCAGTGATTGCAGATTTTATCTGTGCCCTTCTTATTCGTGCAACTGGACGTATTCTTCAAACAGCACGTGGTCTGAATTTGAAATTTTTAGGCCTTGACACAATGTTGGAAGACATTGGTAATTTGAAATTATTTATTTAGCATTGTTATTGCGCCTGTACTTCTATGATTTCCCATCCTGCATTCGTCCTATAGGAAACTGATGAAGTTATTTTACGATTGTTTCTAGAGATTATGCCATCTGGTGACATTGCTGCTCTTGTGTATTTATGGAACCCTTTCACCATATTCACCTGTGTTGGTTTTAATACATCACCTGTTGAAAATCTGTTCGTTGTCTTGTCTCTTTATGGAGCATCTGCAGGTAAAAAAAATTATCCCACCTTTATTGTTCCTGGTATCTTTCACGATAACTGGATTGAAATGTTTTCTTGATTTTTTTCCCAGTCACTTTAAAGCTTCTCAAGCTCAAGCTAGATCTGCTGATTATTGCCACAAAGCATCTAGTTTATTTAAAATGTAGGATACGGGAATATGGCTAAAAAGAGTCCAAATTTTGGACACGAATATGTGGATACGTTTTTGAAATTTCAAATTTTTTTTTTCAAAAAAAAAAAAAAAATCACATTTAAAAGTTAAATACTAATTAGTTGCAATTGGATTTGGTCCAATTGGGTGATAGTTAAATTAAAATTTTATATTAAAATTAGTACTTATACAGTAGGGAATAAATTAGTATTTCTTCCAATTAGTTAGATTGTTTCTTCTTCCAAATAGATGACGGTAGAATTAGGAAGATTTTAATTTCAATTTGTAGAGCATCTATATGAGGATAATTTATTTTAATCAAGGTACAAGAATCTCTTTCTAAGTTTTTGGTTTGAAAACGTGTGATATTTATGGGGAGGGAAGATTTCAATACTAAAAGAAAGGGCCTGAAAGGCCCAAAAATGAAAACAAAAAAGGCCCAACTACTATACCATACCCTTCCTTCTTCCCTAAACAACTGAACCAGAAAGCACCCGACTCTGCAACGATGGTGGCGCAACAGTTTCCACTCCTTGCCGTGTCCGGTTGAAATTTTCCGTGTCTGACCCATATTTCATACCCATACCCGTGTCATGTCGTGTCGACATGGGTACGCGGGCCAAAAAGAAGGGTCCAAGAATCATAGCTTTCGCTTAATCTATCCAATTGAATTCTTCTTATGGGATCACTGACTGTTGGATGTTTCACACAATCTACTTGAGTGGAAATGACTACCATATGCACTGTAAGCCTTGTCATCATGATTCATAATCAGGGCTAGGAGAGTTGGAAAGTAAATTTATTGTTGAGTTGCCTTGCATATGATTTTGTCTTCCATGTATGAGGTATATTTAGTCTCTAAACTCTTAGGAAGTAGAATAGGAAAAATGTAAATGAAACAGCTTTTACCTTTTTCAACCTTGTAAAATTCAAAGGTGTTAGGTATTTTATACTGCCCTGAGTTGCACATGAAGTAGACAGCTAATACCATGTCTACTTATCACCAATCTATTTAATCCTAGTAAGACTTGAGAGGGAGAAGCCATTAGTGAGGGACTTGCTTGGATGATACATTGGTTAAACATTTCATTTTTTCGCCTTGTATGCTATCTTATATATCCTGTGCTCAATGAAACCGAGGTACCATATCTTTGCAAACAATGTAATATTATGTCTTATGATGATATTATTGGATATACATTAAAACTTGAGTGAAAATTGAATACCCTAATTCAGGTTCATAGCCTGTCTCCATTCTGTCTGGAATGACTTCCACAGGTCATTTTCTCAAATATTTGATCAGCGTCAATTTCCATTTATTTTCAGGTCTAAATACATTCCCATATAAAAAATGAGCAGTCACATAAGATAATCACACATTGAATCATTACCTATCACAGTTGATTTTATGTGCAACCTAGTCATTTGATTCTGATGACACAGGAATAGTGCCACTGGCTGCTTTTGGGTGGGTTATAGCATCTCATTTGTCTCTTTATCCAGTGGTTTTGGTCATTCCGGTATGTTTTCATAAAAAATGTTGTGCATAACAAAAAAATATGCCAGATAACATTTCTACTGGATATTGGGTAATGTTGATTAACCCTTGTCCATTCAGGTGATCCTTTTATTAGGTTATTGTCCTGATACGCCCCCTAGAAAACTGTTTCTGCAAAGGGATTTACAAAAAACTGGTGCTGAGGGATCAACCAAGAATCATGTCCAACACAGGCCATTGACAAATAAACCAACAGAAGCAACATTTTTCTGGTGGCGAGTTATTCTTTTCTTTATGTGGGCATCCATATGGATAGCCTACGTCTTAATTTTGTGTGCAATCTCTGTAAAAGAGTACGGCGGTCTTCCTGAGATGTTTAAGAGGTATGTTTCTATATTGTAATACCATTATTTATTTCCTATGTCACTCCAATATCCATAAGCATAATAATTGTTTCAAGATTACTCTTCAGTATTTATATGCGCTCTAATGATATTAAAAATAATAATTTTAACATATCGAAGTATGGTGCTTTTCCTTGCCATCTAGTTAGCTTTTGATTAGATTGCTTAATTTAGGTCATGCTTGAGCCCCATTTTTCTCAAAATTCATTTTCAACCCCACATTCTTCCATAAAATAATTTTACAAATAAATCCAAAAATTTTCCATATTTTTTAATCACACATTCTCCAAAAAATTATTATTTCAAAACAGTTCAAACAAGGGCTTAAAGAACTCATTTCATGTTATTTTGTAATAACAAGATATGAAAATCATTGCATATGTTGATTTAAATAGTTAATTCTAATGTATACATATATCCCTTTACAAATTAAACGAACTAGGTGATTCTAAATTTACATTCATTATCTTCAAACTACTATTTAGGCGAATTAATTTTTCTTTTGCCATTTTAAATGGCAATACTCAATCCAGACCTCTTGTATTTAGGGACAGAGCCTCCTCATGTCGAGCTCTTGGCAAAATTGGCAAAAGAAGAAATTTACCCATTTTCAACCTAAATATTTTTCCACTCTCAAAAAATTGATGAATGGGTTGAAAAGTTGGAGGAGGAGAATATTTTGTTTTGGGTGGTGTCCTTACATTCATTTTTTGGAATTTTTGGGTGGGTTAGGGTGTTGCATAGAAAATTATAAGAAATGTAGCTAAATAGTGGTGTAGAAGATGAATATGGAGTATGAATTTTGGTTATCTTGCAGCTTGGATTCGAGATGGATGTGTCAGTGTGTAGAGGCAATATGTGAGACAAATGTTTCGACGATATTATTCATTTAAGGATTGAAATTAACCAGAAGCTACTTGAAGAGAGATTTTGGTCATATATTATTGTTATTGTTGATACCTAGAAGCTCTGATGCTCGGACTCTTCGAAATGGTTGGAGTACCCGTGTCGGACATGACACGAGTATGAGTATGGGATATGTGTTCGATCCTCTAAGATTCAACCAAAAGTGCCTTTTTTGCTTCTTTCTTTTTTTCTTTTTCTTTCCGTTTCTATTCTCTATGAATCTAGCGCCATCTCCGAAAGGGTGGAGAAAGGACCGCACTAGATTTTCCCTTATTCTTTCTTTTTTCCTTCCCTTTTCTTTTTCTTTTTTCCTTCTTTCCCTCTTTGTATCGGTGGTTTAGGGTTTTGTTTGTATAAAATGAAAATGAGTTTTATATAATACTACTTAGTGCTCCATTAAATCCAAATTGCAAACAAATCCCTCATTTTCTATTTTATATAATATTTAGTAATTAACTTCTCATAATTGAAAATTAAACTACAAAATTCTATTTTATTTGTCTTAACCTCTTATTCAATATTATTTTCTTCTTTGTAAATAATTGATTTTGGTCTATTCAAAATAACATTTTGAGTTAGTAAAAAAAATTGAAATTTGAAAGACGTACCCACGCATCCGTATCCAAAATTTAGACTATTTTTAGCCATTTTTCATATCCTACATTTTAGAAAATAAAAGATTCGACACTTAGATACGTACTCGTACTCATACCCAAATTCGAGCATCATAGCCTAGAAGTTTATTATGTTTGAATTTTGTATGGTGTATATTATATGTATTTAGTTGATTATTGAATTTTTACTTTCAATTCGATTCTGGTTCAACCTTGTTGAACAATTTGACCCTTAACATTTTTTGGTTCAATATCAATTTGGTTTTAAAAACATAGAATAATAGTTAAAACCTAAAAGAATAAAAATGGTAATCTAGATTATTTTATAAGGTGGTTATGATTTATTGATAATGTGAGCATATCATAGTTGATCATCATTATCAGTAATTACAACTATTGAGCCAAAATTTGTAGCGTTAATTTGGTTCTAGCTCCATCCTTTCCTGTATTGATATTTGTGCCTTCTTGAGTGTTTTGTATATTTTTAGTTCAGGGGTTCATCCCTTGAAGCATGATTTTCTTGTATACTTCTCCACTGTGATACTTGGATTCTTCGAAATAGTTGGAGTACCCATGTCGATATGAAGCGAGTACTAGTATGAAGTATAGGATGGGTTCTTCAATTTTCAAGTCGACACGACAACGTCTGGATATGGGGGGGAGGTGGAAACAGGCGGCATCAAAGGTGTCAATGGGAAGAAGCTATAGCAGTGTTGGAGAAGATGAAGTCAGAAGATGTATGGTTTGAGTTTTTTGGATGTGCGATGGAGGTAGAACAGACGCAACAGGAAGTAGATTCGGAGAAGACGAAGGGATTTATGGTTCAAGTTAGGTTTTCTATGTAATGATGGGTTAATATGTATGGGTTGGGCGGGGTGGGCTTTAATTATATGGGCTAATGTTTTGGGCTACAATAGTTTTTGTATTTAAGGCTATTGGGTGTATATATATTTCTAATTAAGGCTGTTTTGAGCTTCATTTAGGTGGGTGGGGTGGGGTGGGGGGGGGGATGGGTGGAAACAGGCGGCATCAAAGGTGTCAATGGGAAGAAGCTATAGCAGTGTTGGAGAAGATGAAGTCAGAAGATGTATGGTTTGAGTTTTTTGGATGTGCGATGGAGGTAGAACAGACGCAACAGGAAGTAGATTCGGAGAAGACGAAGGGATTTATGGTTCAAGTTAGGTTTTCTATGTAATGATGGGTTAATATGTATGGGTTGGGCGGGGTGGGCTTTAATTATATGGGCTAATGTTTTGGGCTACAATAGTTTTTGTATTTAAGGCTATTAGGTGTATATATATTTCTAATTAAGGCTGTTTTGAGCTTCATTTAGTTGGGTGGGGTGGGGGATGATTTATTTGCTTCTTAATTATTATTTAACTTTTTACATATGAATTTCTTGAAAAATTTTGAAATTTGAAAGACTTATCCATGTAATTGTGTCCGAAATTTGAACTCTTTTTAGTCATGTTTCTGTATTCTACCTTTTAGAAATTAAAGATTCGACACTTAAATATGTGCATGTATCCGATACCTGTACTAGAGTCCGAGCTTTATAGCTTCTCCAGAGGGTCGTATGCTTTAGACATCTCACTAGATATATGCCTAACTCTTTTGTAGCATTCAGCTGCATTTTTATGATACTTGAGTGCACATTCCATGTTGTATAACTTAAATGTATGATAAATATCTAAGAATTTCCTATTCCATTGTTCTATATAGTCCATCTAAAGCGAGTAAGAACGTACTGCTTCATATTTGTATACTGTTACTTCTTTTGCAGGACCTATGGATTTATTCTCACTGTGAAAGATTTATCTCCAAATATAGGTGTCTTATGGTTAGTATCAAGTAACTTTATTGTCCATTAAATGTAGATTTGTTTGCCTATCCAACTCTATTAACTTCTATATTTATTCACCAACTTCATGGCAGGTACTTTTTTGCGGAAGTCTTTGATTTTTTTAGGAATTTTTTCCTGATAGTTTTCCATGTAAACATCCTATTCATGATATTGCCATTAGCCATACGGTTAAACCACCGGCCTTGCTTTCTTGCTTTTGTTTACTTGGCAATCTCCTCAATGCTTAAATCTTATCCTTCGGTGAGTTCTCATCCATCTCTAATCCCATCATGTGTTGTTTTCTATTGTTGACCGATAATTCTTATCTTGACACTCATTTAGTTTCTTACGTTCCTAGCATGTAACAAAATAGTTTATGGTGATGTTACACGTACGTAACAGTTTACACCCCCTTACATGGAGGGGCCATGTTATTTATTGTACACGGGCCCCTCTGTGTGAGGAGGGTGTAAATCCTTATGTATACCCTAAAGTGAACAAGTATCATATTGATCTGTTTAAATACAAAAATAACGTGAAAGCAGGGGTGGAGGCACTGACGCATCGCCGTCTTTTTTTCCTTCCCCTTTCCCTTTTTGGATAGGATGGGATGGAGGAGAAAGAACCTGCTTATAAATCTTGCTTCTTTTATGTTAATTTTTTTGTTGTAAAAACACGTTCTGAGTTTTTGCTTAGTAAGCTCTTTAAGCCTTCTCGGGAGCCAGTGAACGTGCAAATTTGATTTGTTATTCATTGAAGGAATGTTGACTTAGTTTTTGAAATTAAAATGGTTGTATGAGTAGGAAATTGGATTTGATGGAGATAATTAAGGAACCTTCAGGCTTTAACCTATGTAAGTCAAGATCCAATGCACATGTTGATACGTGCATCTTTAGTCCCATGGATTGTCAAACCGTCTTAAAGGACATGCAAGGGCTTAGTATTTCAAATTGCAACTTGAAATGGGAGGCTTCCTCTTACAGGACGCTGACATTTAGTGGGATAGTGAAGCTCTTGGAAATTTAAAATTCTTGATTTCATGCCCCTGTTTGCTCAGCAAAGAAGAAAAATAGCAAATTTTTTTATATTTGAGCTAGCGTTGTAATTGGAATAGAATTTATGTTTACTCTGATAAGTATTAACTATTTCAAACCCAAAATGATTGACTCCTCGAAGAAGTGTTGGGATGAAACTAGTTTTGCATATGATATAATCATCAAGTACAATTACTTCATATAGAACTAATTTTTTCCCCACTGGGGCGTGGAGAGAAAATTAGATTTGCTCCTGAGGGTTTAGGGTAGCTCATCTTGGATAGCAGAAATCTCTTGAACTCAATTTAAAATTTTTCTTGGTAGCTACAGAAATTTCAATTGTTTTGGATTTGCATCTCACAAATAATTGGCCATGTTGGCTCATTAATCATTTGCTTAAATGATCAGGTTGGGGACTCAGCTCTATACTTGGGTTTGATGGCACTTTTTGTTAATGAGTTAGCAGGTAATTTTTCTGCTCTTTTTTTTTTTGGGTATATTACTACTACTATATTATTATGCCCTTTCCCAGATGAAGATTTTGATATCTTATAAATTATTTGTTATGCAGAAATGCAATTTTCATTCTTCCTCTTTTGTGGATATGTGGGAGTATCGCTTCTGAGCCCTGTGATGCACAACCTATGGATATGGAGGGTATGTCTGAGACAGTTATACGTACATAAGCATGGGTTTTCTTCCAAATTCATGCATAAACATAATGTAGCTGATAATAAGCTTTGCTGGATATCTTAACTTGCTGGAATTGCAGGGTACTGGGAATGCAAACTTTTACTATGCAACTGCTATGGTGTATGCTTGCTTTCAGGTTTCTTTCTTTTCAGTTATTCTTTGATTATTAACCTATTATTACTTGTATGAATCTGTATGTTGATTTCAGCCTTCATAGAAAAATGTCAATGCTCTTATTATTTCCTCAATTGCCCATCTTATGGAAAATATTGAGTTTAGCCTGTGGACTGTGTGAAACAAAAATTTTAATCTAGTAAATGTCCTCTTTTTTATTGAAATATACTTTTTTCATATACCAATGTCTTAAAAGTGATGTTGGCTTATTGAAATGGCCTTGTTCTTTGATATGTTTCAGTTAGAATTCTACAAGATTGAACTCATTCAAAAAATTTTATATGATGCTAGTTCTTGGGTACATTGTACCTGGGGGACTATTCGTTGGATATTACTGTTTTAAGCACATACGGCGTCAGTTTATTTGTAACATGGGATCTCACAATCAAGAAAGATGGTTTGCCAACAATATTAATTATCCTATGAGCATTTGGTTGAGCTTTTCGCCTTCTGTTTTCATACATGTTTGGATACATTATATTTTCTAATTTCCGAGTAAAAAAGTTAACTTATTGTGAAGATAACGCTTACGTTTCTATCAAAACAAGGAAACTTGTTTATTCTAATACTTATAATTAAACTTTCTTAAGCTTAATCAAACACGCTGTGTACTAGTTAGAATCTTTAAGCTTTTACATTCTCTTTTGACTCGTGCAATTTAATATAATTGTTTACTCACTTGTTCTCTGTTTGCCTGCAGATAATATTGGTAGTTGAGAGCGTTAATGCCATGCTTAATCACGACAGAAAGATCAGAAAACTATGTACAACTACGGAAGGTTGAGGTGTGTACCGGTTTCTAATGTTAACAAAATAAATGATCTTTTGCCAATGTATCGAGTATTTCTGGCCCTTTCTCTGGTCCTGGTGCTTTGAAGACATCACCGCATTGCACGAGGAACTGCTGGAACTTAATTGGCAACTGGTACATGGTTATTTTTTCTGGTTGAGATTCGATTTCTTCGAAACATCTGGTGTGTACCCCCCTCGATTTATATTCTTACTTTATCCTTCGAATGTGTTGTACCTAAACACAATACACTTGGTAGAAAAGTAGTTTGGGTAGATTTACCAGGAGGAAAAAACTTTGTAAAGATCATCTGTAATGATGCTATCTCCCAATCATCTATCTGAATTGCATGACCTTTTTGTTGTGGATTGTGATTTTCAGTACCATTTCATGTATCGATCTTTATGTATTTGATGTTCTTTTCTTGATTGCATTTGCACGTTTAATTGCAAGGAAGATTAGTTGGGATTAAAACTTCTTATGCCCCTGTTTGACCCCCATTTTTGGGTAAGGAAAATGGGAGGAATAGTGTTTTTTTGAAAAATGAGAGGTTGAAAAAGAAGAAAAATTTTTCGATTTACGTATAATATTATTTTATGAAAGATTGTGTGGTTGAAAATAGGAGAGAGAAAAATAGAATATAATGGAATGTAATTTAATGGGGGGCCAAATGGGTATATGAATCTTATATTTGTACAAAAAAGTTTTAGACAATTTTGCCCTATGACAAAAAAGTTTTAGATAATTACAAGACCCATGCCCTTGTTATTGATTGGTTGTACTGGCCATGGCTATGGAGAGATGTTCACAAAGCAGTGGATCGCTGTCAAGTTGACAAAGGAGCGAAACAAAATACAGGGCTCTATACTCTGCTGTCTATATAATAAAAAGAATGCTGCTACACTTATAGATCCCTGTCAGATCTCTCACAGTTGTGGGCTCCGGCATATTTATTTATTTATTTTTTTCATGTGGGGCCGATCGCTACAGGGAGGAGTCGGTAAGACCCTTGTAGGAAATTGCTACACAGAGCAATTTTCTAATTAAAAAACCTCCTCGAGCAGCCTCACATTGACAACCAAGAGGGGAAATTCTCAGGCTCTCTCAAAATGATAAATATAATAATAATGAAACTTGTTTCTTTATTCGTTATGACTAGGCTTCAAGTATTCTATAATCAGAACAAGCTTACTAAATGTCATGCCTCGGTGGAAATCGTATTGATGTCACAGGGTGTAAGTTTTCTTTACTCTGGATCAGATTTCAGATTTTACATTCTCGGCTCTATATCAAACAAATATTACACAAGGCAACAAGCCGCCAAAGCTGCTTAATTGCTGTTTCCTCGACAAAGAAGGTAGACCTGTATCATTATGAAAAACAATGAGTAAAATGCACATCTCAAATGTAATCCAAATTTAAGAATTATCTTTAGTCATGTAAACTAAAAAAAAAAAAATCCAAATCAACGTTGAAAGATAGTAAAATCCTTTTTGTGAAGGTCTTCCATGAATCTCTCATCCCAGCCACAAAAAGGAAAGCCCCCAAAGATAAACAAAAACGCCATAAAACGTAAAAATGAAAAGATGTCTTGTTTAAACGCCACATAATTGGAAATTATAACTCTAAGCGGTCATAAAAACATTATCGATCACAAATTGTCCAGAAGGTCAGCATCATAGCAACTATGATTCAATTAGATAACATCCAAGTACCTTGATTTCCTTGCAAAGCACAAAAATCATTGCACTGATGCTGAATTCTTTGTTTGATTGTGTGTACCCAATGTTACAATTTTGCACCAAGCCTACGTAACAAGCTAAAGATAATGGTTCTAGAGAAGAACCACAGTTAAAAGCAATAAAGTTATTTTTTTAAGTTAATAGCGATTTTGTCCCAGAGAGCCACCAGCAGCAGATAGATGTCCAAATAGCTAATAGTCTTCTGTATCAAAAGTAGCATTTTCAAGAGGAGATCAAGCGTAAGATTTTTGATAAATTTAGTTACGTGCACCTTGCTTGTAGACTATTCTTGAAAATCAGTGAGCAGCTTGCGTGCAGACTAGTTACTGAAAATCGTATACTACACGTACTTCCTACAGCTTGTTGAACACCATGTTAAAGGCCACCAATATTCGCTGAATTTCTTGATGCACAAATGCCGGCTGTATTATAAAGATAATTTTCTTGTCTTCTGAATTGGTAAGGAACCTTTAAGCTTTGTCTTCACAATGTTTTTTCAACTGCGATAGACTACAAAACCTACCTTGAATATTCTTTTTCTCCAGAATGAAATAGAGATTGTAGTGGATGGTAACTGATGTTAGTTGTCAGAGCAATGTGCGAAAAACATTAGACAAACTCAGTCCACTCTACAAACAGTTTTACAAAGTCCCATTTCTTTATAAACAATAACGACAAAATTCTGAACATTTATTTCATTAATCAAAAAGTTTATATTGTTAAGCAGTTATAGCAATTATGATACATCGGAGTACCTCGATTTTCTGGTAAAGAACGAAATTCCTCACTCTGAATGTTGAATTCTTTGTTCCGATACAAGTAACCAATGTTATGATTTTGCATGAAGCCAATATAATAAACAAAAAAAATCATGATTTTAGAGGAAGAATTGCCTGTAGGAAAAATGGTTGGAATGGGTCAACTTTGGGCCTGGAATGGGTCAACTTTGGGCCCAAAGTTCAGTAGGACCCACCTTTTAATTAATACGGGACCTAGCATATTTACGTTCTACTCCGCGAGATCATTAACATGATATATTTATTTGTCAAAAATCATTTAAAATTGAATGAAATATTAAGTGTTAAAATAACTCACATAAACTAAGTATTATGGAAGAATTTGATTTTCCAAACACTTATCCCACATAGGAAAGTTAGGAAATTTTGGACAAAATTTATTTAAAATTTTGGGCCAAATTGTAAATAATCAAATTTTTGGGTACATTATAAAATTTAAATTTTGGCTTATTCTGGGTGTTTTATTTTCTTTTAACAGTCGTCTGTTTACTGACCAAACAGTCGACTGTTAGCCGATTATTAACCGACTTAACAGACGCGACTTTTAAAACAGTATGTCTGTTCGAATTTTTGAGGTTTGTTTGAAAGGTGATGACTGTTCGAATGACCATGAACAAGTCTATAAATAACCTGCCTCTCTACCAGAAAATTTACACCATTTTCATTGAAAACTTTTTGTGCTTTGAATCTTATTCCCCTCTCTCTCGTTCTAATATTGTTTCGAAATCAAAAACACTTCGTTGAGTTTGTTGAAACTCCCGCAGATTACAGTGCTGCATTCGTAGGAGACGAAAATTCGTTCTATCCTGGGAAACGATTGCTGGACGCTTTTAGCACCATTAAAGGTAACAAATTCGTTTTAAGGAAATATCGTGAAGTCGGTGGGCTCGAATTATAATTTTGGATTCTGTTGATCAATTCTTACATTCAGGTGATTCTGTCGGATTGTTTTCAAAGGAGTAACTTCAAACTCTAAAACAACAATCTTAAAACGAATTTGAGATTATTATTTTGTTTCTGTTTCTACTCCTTTTTACCGTTGATCTTCTGATTGTGTTTTAGAAATGACAACTTCTGGTACCACTCCCAAATACGATCGGGGAAAAATCAGAAAAGTTTAATGGGTCAGATTTCAAGCATTGGCAACAAAAAATGCTTTTTTATCTGACAATGTTAAATCTGGCTAAATTTCTTAAAGAAGACGTGCTTTCATATACCGAGCAAGACAGAGATGCTGAAAAATTGGCTGCAATTGATGCATGGAAGCATTCTGATTTCTCGTACAGAAATTATGTACTTAATGGACTGTATAAGACATTATATAATGTATATTGCAATGCTAAGTCCGCAAAAGAACTGTGGAAATCTTTGGACACAAAGTACAAAATCGAAGATGCCGGCACGAAGAAATTCATTGTCGGTCGTTTTTTGGACTATAAAATGGTTGACAACAAGACTGTCATATCCCAAGTTCAAGAACTTCAAATCATACTTAGCGACATCTATGCCGAAGGAATGAAACTAAGTGAATCATTCCAAGTCGCTGCACTGATTCAGAAATTACCACCTTCATCGAAGAATTTCAAGAATTACCTAAAGCACAAGCAGAATGAAATGAAACTTGAAGATATCATTGTCCGATTGAGAATAGAAAAAGAGAATCGCAAAACTGAAAAAATGAATGGTGCATCTCATTTGATGGAATCAAAAGCCAACATTGTAGAAGGAGGCTTCAAGACTAGCAAAAAGAGGAAGCACAATGGGGAAGGGCAAATTGGTTCTTCAAAAACTGCTAAAAAGTTTAAAGGCAACTGTTATAATTGTGGCAAGGTAGGACATCGATCCAAGGATTGTCGAAAGCCAAAGAATGTAAAGGGAAAAACCCACCAGGCTAATGTAACAGAACATGAGAACCTTACTGATTAGGTACAAGACATGAATCTTTCTGCTGTCGTCTCTGAATACAACTTAAGTGGAAACACTAAAGAATGGTGGGTGGATACTGGAGCTACTCGTCACATATGCTCAAACCGCGGGATGTTCTCTACCTACAAAGTGATGGATCACGATGAACATCTCTACATGGGAAACTCGTCATCTTCCAAGGTAGAAGGACATGGGAAGATAGTGCTGAAAATGACAAGTGAAAAAGAGCTCACTTTGAATGATGTTCTTCATGTGCCCGATATTAGGAAAAACTTGGTATCTGGTTCTCTACTAAGTAAGAACGGGTTTAAGCTAGTATTTGTCTCAGACAAATTTGTACACTCAAAGAATGAAATGTTTGTAGGAAATGGCTACCTGAATGAGGGGCTCTTTAAGTTGAATGTAATGACTGTTATACCTCCAATTATGAATAAGAATACATCTTCTTCTTACTTGCTTGAGTCATTTAACATTTGGCATGAACGATTAGGACCTACAAATTATTACACTTTGCGTAGACTAATCAAATTAGATTTATTGCCAAAGTGTGCTTTAAATCCTAATCACAAATGCGATATATGTGTAGAAGCCAAAATGTCACGTCTACCCTTTCGTTCTGTTGAAAGAAGTACCGAACCCCTAGATTTAATTCACACCGACATATGTGATTTAAAATTTGTTCAAACTAGAGGAGGTAATAAGTACTTTATCACTTTTATCGATGATTGTACTCGATATTCCTATGTGTATTTGCTCAAAAGCAAAGACGAAGTAATTGAAGTGTTTAAACACTACAAGTTAGAAGTTGAAAATCAACTTAGCAAAAAGATTAAGGCCATAAGAAGTGATAGAGGTGGTGAATATGATTCACCATTTAAGAAATTCTGTTCGGAACATGGAATTATTCATCAAACTACCGCG